AGAAAGCAAAATACTATATGCCAAAATGTGGCAAACAAGAGTAATTATTTTCATCATTTAGATTTCCATGGAACTTACAGGAGGGATGATTCTCCATATTAATGGAAAAAGGCTGACATATCCAACATGAGGAACTAGGCTTGGCTTTGGCTTGTCTAATACTTCACGGACAAGCTCTCGAGTTGCATAATTGTTTCCTGTAATCACATCTTTCCAACGTAATCGAACCTGGATAACAACTCAACATCAAGTTCGGGAGTTCTGTAAATCACAAGGCTATACAAAATCAAGGTAACAAATTTGTTTGATAAGAAATAGTTCCATTGAAAACTCCAACAAAGGTGAAATTGTAGCCAGATCTAAGTTAAGTTAAAAAAATGTCCAAACTTCAGCTGAAAGAAAAAAATAATTTATAAAACTACTGCGTATAATTAATTATTAATTGTTAGTAGTATGCCCTATAAGCTAATAACATACTGATGGTAACAAATTTGTTTGATAAGAAATAGTTCCATTGAAAACTCCAACAAAGGTGAAATTGTAGCCAGATCTAAGTTAAGTTAAAAAAATGTCCAAACTTCAGCTGAAAGAAAAAAATAATTTATAACACTACTGCTTATAATTAATTATTAATTGTTAGTAGTATGCCCTATAAGCTAATAACATACTGATGGAATAGGACTATCAGCTGCATTGCTACTTATAAATCACATATTAATTATTACTAGTATGTTCTACAAGCTGATCACAAATTGACAGAAAGACACTATCAGCTTATGATGTTTTTCATTTATTGTTTTATTCTTTTAGTTGATAATAAAAGAAACTTGATCTACAATGTACTCTGTTACCACTTTGCTCTTGGCAAAGCCCCTAAAATGGAACAATGAATCAGAACCATGAATAGATCATTGGTGGCAATTAAATCCAAACCCTTATGAGCGTTGTTCTTAAACATCTCACTTGCAAGGCCATCAATAAAGACACTGGTACTCTAGTTAGACTAATGACATCATATCTACTATCAAAAGGAGGTGATTGATCTAATAACAAATTTTAAGATGCATTTAAGCAATGGTTATAAGCTCATCTCGAACTTTTCAGATGTATGAATATATTCTTTTAATTCAATCCACAACCTAGTTTACTGGTATATATTATATTTTGCTTCATATTAGATTAGTAGCATCTTTGACAATATAGTTTGGGCAGGGAATCTGTAAGTAATTTTATTATTTTTACTTATTTATTAATTCTTTTAATAATTCTTTTGATAATTTTATGATTTTGATTTGTATATCTAATTTATATCAACAATTGATTATTAAATTAGTTAATTATTTTTAACATTCATATTAATGATTTTAGAGAATAGATTTTGAACTTAAGACAGATCTGTTACCAATTTATTTATTCGACAGAGTCCATATGCTTAAATATCTGTTTTGTTTTAATGGTGTTGTCCCATGTCTAGTACTAACCAGGTAAAGTTAGTTCAGGCCATACAATAGGGTATACCCAATCTATTCCAGTTTTGCTGTATACTGTTCCGCTCAGTGGATGAGACAATGCCTAATAAGTTTTCTCAACCGACTAAAATATAGGTTTCTTTACTGGTTAGATAGCACGAACACCTATTAAAACAGCTTTGTCTCAGTTCTGTTCTCTCCGATCTTTACCAATCTGTTCTACTTTCACTTGAGTGAAAACATCCACAGTGAGCATTGGAAAAGATCAGAGAGGGAAAGGTTTCTTTAAAAAAACAAGTAGAAAGATGGGATGGGATATGTATTAACTGTGGATTGTGCTCTAGGATAATAGAGAAAACTTGCATGGCCAGTCTCACCAGCTTCCTAACACTATCATCCTAACAGATCAATCCCTTATTCATAGAATACAAATCAAATGGTACCCTCTAACAGATCACAGCTTCTCGGGTACAGATAATTATAATGCATTGGATGGAACAATTCCTGTCTAACAATCATTATTGACGAGCTCATTCTCAGAGTGATTTGAAAAATAACAGCACGTAGGTCAGCATATTAAATAAAGCATAAGTGAAATATAAAATTGACCACTAGCTATTGGAGAGAACATATCTTCTGAAAAGTTCATTAACATGTGTCCCAAATGCACTCATATAAAGAGAAGTGTTATTTGAAATTAGTAATTGAAAACGTGGCAAAATAAGAAACCATATACTAAGATTGACCACTAGCTATTGGAGAGAACATATCTTCTGAAAAGTTCATTAACATGTGTCCCAAATGCACTCATATAAAGAGAAGTGTTATTTGAAATTAGTAATTGAAAACGTGGCAAAATAAGAAACCATATACTAAGATAGTGACAAGCAAGTAGCGTACCTTTTCTGTATGATTTCCGAAGTCAAAATATGCTCCATATGTATCGTCATAGTGCATCTGGTAGAAAATTAAGCAAAGAACAAAAATGGTGAATGAGACAAAACTAAAAAGTTTGAAGACTTTTTGATGCAGAACCATCTAGCCAAAATAAGAAAGGCTGATCAAGAGATTGACAATTTATCTAAGGAATTTAAAAGCATTTAGGATATGTGAAATAACTAAGAGCATTTAAGAGTTCACTAAAATAATGCTAGTAGGATATGTAAGGAGTTATTGACATCCAGGGAAACAAAGAGCATTCAAGGGATCCACCTATCACACAATGGGATTGAAAGAAAAATAGCTTCCTACCAAGTAGCTCAGTTGCTTGTTTGAGAAATTATTGTATTTACCACAACTGAATGAGAATTTAGTTGGTTACATAGCCCAGTTTGAGGAACTCATGTTTAGTGTGAACTTGAAGACTCTTTGCCACCATTTACAGATTTATCGACAGTTTGATGGTAGAAATTAAAAAGGACGTTTCATTATATTCTCACTAGTATTTTGAATAATCGCATCAAGCACTAGAAATAGAAGAATACTTCCAATTTCTTAGTACTCGTTGAGTGCTGTCTTCCCTTGGAGATTCATCTCCTCCAAGTTTGTTTCTCAGTCTATTTCTACAGCTAAGTCTCCTATCTTTCAAGCATCTAAGTCTACCATTCCTTGTCCTAGTGGTCGTCCTAGTGCATCACATAGTTCTTCAATACAGTGTCATGGTTGCCATGAGAAGGGTCAAGTGTCCAGAGGTCCTCAATGTGCTTCGCCTGTAGAACAGGAATCTTATTAGTCATATGTTATTGAAACACAAGTTCTTGATCCAATGAAATAATTAGGTGATGAAGATGACTTAGATAATTAAAAAATTGTTGTCACTATTTGTCTTGTTGCCTAAGTTTGTCCACATAATGATCCTAAGGAGTACCTGGAGGTTTTGACAGCTACACCTTGTGATCACATCCCTCTGCCTATCATACCTCGTAAACCTCTTATACATTCCCCAGAACCTTGTTATTCTTAATTATTCTATTAAAAACTTCTTCAATTACGAGCTGATGTGCACCTTGAAGATTACAAGGATAAGACTGTGGAAACTAAAAAAAATGGTATATTTACTGTCAAGTCCTTTTATGACTATTTGGCCACCAATAAGGGTGAATGTGAGAGATTTCTGGCTGTGCAGATATGAAAGTGAAGACACCATTGAGAATTGCTTTTTTGGCTTGAGAACCGGTCAGGAATGCATCATCACCATTGACAAATTGATGAGAAGGGGATACATTATGGTTCATGGTTGTTATTTGTGTAAGGGGCGGCTGAATCATACAACCATCTTCTTCTGTGGTGTCCGGTGACCTACAGCTTATGGAATATGGTGTATAATTTATTAGATATCAATTGGGTGATTGGAGGTACAGTGAAAAATGAACTTTGGGCTTTGGATGGGATATGTAATAAATCGAAAATTATAAAACTTATTCCTTTAATTATCTTCTGGGTGGTGTGAAAAGAGAGGAACAGAGCATTTGATGGGTGTGTGGGTGATTTGGGTAGAATTAGAGATAGGTGAATACATACTTTTGGGACTCTAATTTTGGGACATGATGTGTACGGGTGGAATGATTTTGGGAAAGTTTTTAAATTTTAATTAGACATGTAAATATTTTGTACAAGGGCATCCCCTTGGTGCCTTATTATGGAGATATGAATTAATTAAATTTCTGGAAAAATGGAAGAATATGGAAGAAAGTGAAAAGGGAAAAATTGCAGAAAAAATAAGAGAGTTTACATAAATAAACATGGAGCTCCATTCCTATTTGACAGTTTGTTACCTAAAACTGTCAATACCAGAAAAAAACAGTAAACACTTACACATAATACTTGATTTTTATCTCAAAAAAACAATTCACCAAACTTATTGCACTCATGCCTCCTTGGCACATTCCCAATCCTTAGAAAATATGGATCTACTCTCACATATTTCCTAGAACACAGCTTTTTCTCTTGATTATTCTGTTAGAAAACCAAAGATGCGATTTTCTTATGGTTAACACTTTTTCAAACTCATTGCAGTAATGTGTTGTTGGCCCATTCCCAGTCCTTCAAAAATATGGACCTCGTGCATATCTTCTTGACGCACCTGAACATGTGGATATTGATCATCTTTTTGAAGTTGGGGTTTTATCATCTTATCAAGGCTTCTTGGATCCTCTTTCATTGTTTTCTCATATTTGTGCAGGTTGTGATCCATCTAAGCCGATTTTGTGACAAGTGAGATTATGGTCATATGGGATGTGAATCTTTTTCCACCTTCAAAGGTGGTTTCCATAAGAACCTTTTTGGGTGGAAAAGTTGTTTCAAGTCCACTGCCTTTTGGATTGATGCAGATCTGTTTGTGCATCTTGAATCCAGAGCACTTAGATGACTATGTGCATTCTGACTCATCAAAGTCAAGTTCTTTGCATGGGCAGGAGAATGAATGATGTAGAACCATCTAAGGGAAATATGAAGGTTGGTTGCCATGGTGGTCACGTTACTCTTATTCAGTCTTGCTTGTCTAGAATTTCACTCATTTTCTTTCTCTTTTAAAGTACCTAGAGGTTTCACAAAGAGAACTGAGAGGGTGGTGAGGAACTTTCTTTAGTCTGTGGTGGGTGATTCCTCAAGAAACTACTTAGTAGCAAAAGATGTTGTTTGTCTAAGTTTGATGGGATTTTTGGTATGGTAATCTTTATTCTAAAAATCTGTCTCTTTTGGCTAAATGCCTTTGGAGGTTTCTTTTGGAATCTAACTCTTTATCGTACAAGATAATCTAACAGAATTTTTAGTTTGCATTGAAATGGATCAGATTCTAATTTTATTGTTTTGAGGACATACAGGAGCCAGTGGAAAGCTATTTCCAGCTTTTAGGATTCCTTCTTACTCTTGTTCAAAATGAGGGTGGGTAGCAGTTTTTAGTTCCTTTTTACAGAAAATCCTCAGTGTGATAATATTCCTTTAGCATCCCGCTTCCCTCAATTGCATAATTTATATCAGACTCATCATGCCGCCATTCCTTCTTTAAGGGAGTACTTCAATGATTCCCTGTCTTGAGACATGTATTTCTTCAGGAATCTTTATGACCGAAAGATTGATGCTATGACATATTTGCTTCGTTTACTTGATTCTATTGTCTTATCTAAAAGCCCAATTGTAGAATCTGGTCTGTGGAACTCATGTTCCTATACACCTAAATCCTTTTTTTTTTTTTTACTCACAATCTTCCTCCCATAATGATATTCTTTTTTTTTTTGAAATAAAAAGTATTTATATGAATTAATATTGGTACCAAGGGGGGGCCACCCATTTACAAAAATATTTACAATCAATTAGATCATTTAGAAGGTTCCCTAACTCTAAAGATGAATTAATAGAGTGATACGTTAACAAAAAACCCCAGGATTTGAAACCATTTATTCTTAAGTAAATCATATCCATTAACATCCTCAACCCCTTCAAAAACCCTTTTGTTTCTCTCATTCTATACAACCCAGAAAATAGTAATCAGGATAACTTCCGCTTGTTTCCTCTTACACCCAAACCCTTCCAAGCCCAAATTTCATGTCTCACTGAGCCGGAAGGCACCCAACTAATACCAAGCATGCTGAAAACTTTGGTCCAAATTCTATAAACCATTGGACACCAGAGAAGTAGATGATTACATTTTCGTCTGCCCCCTTGCATAAGTAGTAGGCATTCACCAAGATTTTGCCTCT